AAAAAAGTGCCGGTGAGCGTCAAAGGTATGGTTATGGTCTCGAAATTTTGTAACCTAACCTGGTACTGTGCCTACTTTTGCTGATCTTCTTCAGCGAAGTACGAGGATCGAACGAGTGTTCCGAAAGGAGGAATGGTCGTGAGGGCGCTGACGTTTTCCAGCCTTCTGCAGATTCGTCACGTCCCAATGTGCAGAACGACGGAAATGCTGAGCGTCGCACATCCCGTCCAAAGCGGGGCCTTTTTGCCAAGTTAAAAGCCAAGAAAGACAAGGATAAAGTATGTCCATGCCTCCTTTCGGAACACTCGTTCGATCCTCGTACTTCGCTGAAGAAGATCAGCAAAAGTAGGCACAGTACCAGGTTAGGTTACAAAATTTCGAGAGTAACCATACCTTTGACGCTCACCGGCACTTTTTTCGTACGAGTCGATGTTGCTCAAGTAATATGGATGACAAAACTGCGAGGGCGCAGAAGGTGGAGGAGGAAAAGGATTAGGAAAATGATAATTATTCCAAGCAAGCCCGTAGTCCACATGATTTCCTATCTGATTGTTTGAGTTGGCGGGCTAAAATATATTATTTTGAGATGCCAGTTACAATTTAACCTCCCCTTCAAAAAACGAGAAAGTGTCGGGTGCAGACCAAACACCACAACTGACGACGGCCTCCAAGTAGATCTCGTCATTTGTGGTGCACGGTCTGCACCCGACACTTCCTCACTATTTGAAGGTGAGGGTACATCTACAGGCATAAAGCATAACTCTAAAGAAAATACATTTTCAATGTCTACCTGAGAATAATAATAGAATTCGTCCCTGAATTCATTTGGGCGGTCTCTGCAGAGAAATTGAGGAGGCTCTTCACGATGTTGTGTTTGCGGGTTGTGACCCCGCGATCCGCGATTGGGAGCTGGATATGTTCTCCTGAACAGGAAAGTAACTGCTAGGTCGACTATTCAATTCGCACTACTGTCGACACTAGGAGTAAATTAAGTAGTCTGACAGCAAGAGAGGTCGAAATAACAAAACTGTGACATAAATGTTAGGTTTTCTCCCAAAGTCCTATCATTGAAGGGGCGCATGTGGTTCAATAGAAAATATTCAATAAATCGAATTTGTGTAGGTAATATAACAGTAGAAGTGGGCAGCAAATTAAGGCGGGTTCATCAAAAATAACACGGCGCATTCATAGACACGCGAAGAAAACAACGTAATTGGAAAGGAAGCAAGTTGTGCACCACTGCGGCGTCTGATAATATGTGTCGTCTCCCAAATAACACCAGCAACAAACAGTCAAGAAGAAGCGCCAATCAATATTGGACAAGTGACCGAATTAAGGTATACATTTTGTCGCAGTTCGAAGCTATTCGCTATTATTTCCTGCTTTCAGGAACGAGACAAACGTACATGCTGAGTGAAGAATGAAATCCATTACGTTAATTTCAACCATCCCAACAAAGCAAAGAAATGTGTCACCAAACACATTCAGAAACAGGAAAGATGAGAATAAACACAGCAGTAAACATTCGGTTAAGCAAAAACCTGAGCTCTGAAAGAATAAATATATAGATAATAGTATATATAGTCTACCTGTTAGCGCCATTACGCATGAAAGGCAACGTTGGCTCGAGATAATTGGGTGCCCGTGTAGGATAGCCGTGATCTTGCCGCGATTCTCGATTGTCGTTCTGAATAACTACTTTAAACAATGATATGGTACATTGCAATTTTATACAATTGATGAGAATCAATGAATGGAAAGACAATATAGAAGTATAAAGCGTACATTCGGTTCAATGCCAGCATCCATCGTATCGATGATTGCTCTCATTCGATCACGTCTCTTCCGATGCTCCAAGGAGTCAACGTGCTGAAGAGGATTTACTTCAGGGAAGGAAGGCAAAGCAAACTATTATATCGATATGCATGTGCACACACCGAGTTTATACAGAATCTTATCTTGGATATTAAGTAAGGATATTAGTCAGTACTAGTACGCTTACCTTTGAATATTCCCCTAGCGATGCACACGTAATATTACAAGGAGGACAAATGTGACTAGTTGGTGCAGCTGCTTCAAGCTTGATATGATGACTGAGCGAAAGTTCGTGAACTTCCAACTCCTGGAAACAATTTCTTTAAGATTGTTAAAGTCTAAATCCCTTACCAGGAAGGTCTTTCAGGAAATGCCCCGCTTTCTCGAAACGGTTTTTTGCATGATATAGGGGTACGTGCATGGAACACAGAACTGTAGTTCATTTTTCCTGAGCGGCCCTCTGAATACCAAAAAAGGGGGTGATGAAGGTCCGTGGTTCGAATCCTCGCAGTGACAATTTTTTGCATTTTGTGTTGGCGTTTCAAAATTCGCGAAAAATAGCGTCAGCGTAAACAACTTATGTCATATCTATAATTAGGACCATCAGCAACCTTTATACGTAGACTTTGGCTAAAAAACTGGTGAAGAAAGTTAAGAACGGCAGTTCCTTAAAAATTTTTCTTCGCTCCTTTTTTGGTATTCAGAGGGTCGCTCAGGAAAAATGAACCACAGTTCTGTGTTCCATGCATTTACCTCCTATCATGCAAAAAACGTTTCGAGAAAGTTGCGCATTTCCTGGGAAGATCTCCCAGTTAGTATTTTCCCCTCTCAATTTTGACCAGATCCACTCTTTTGCGACAGAACACTTCTTCTTGTTTCAGTATACTGATTGCAAACTTTTGGTATATTGCCAAGCCTATAACACTCACTTTATAGATGCTCCCGTCTAGTCAAGCCCGAAAATGGCGGTAAGTTTGGTCACGGTTTGCGGACTACTTGAACTTTCTTCCATGGTCCTGCCACGAATGGCGGAGGGCACACAGTTAGAGAACGGCGCCTGGCTCGGCTCCAAATCCCAAGGAAGGAGGTGAGAGCCCTAGGACTAAGCCTTGTAGGAGGGAGGGACTTCGAGGTGGGTGAGCCAACTACAGTGTGGCAAAAGTTTGAATGTGTGAGATCACAATGGTCATGAGCCGCTGATAAGGTGAGAGAGCGCAGACGAGAGATGGATCTGAGGCGGCTTAAAGGACCGGGTTCAAGTAGTCCGTCAACCATAAACTTCCGTGGCGTATCGAGGCATGAACTCATACTTGGTGGTGCGATCGCACGATCGATCTTATCGAACTACCACTACGGCCATAAGTTGCTAATAATCTTCAGGTGGTCTTGAACCGAATACCCTTCCGTGGATATAGTTAACAACTCTACGAATTAGTATTTCCCTCATACAAGATGGTCAGTTTAAAAGTAATGCAAACTAGTCTCCGTTAAAATTCATTACAGTCACCATATAAAAAACAAAGGAACAAAAAGAGAAAAGACCTCCAGCGAAGAGTAGCTTAAGAAGAAAGGAAATCGCTCTAGGAGTGATTCAGTTAAGAACAAAATATAAATGCCATCGCGATCATTGAAATGTGTTGATCACTGTAATACGCAGCACCGGTGAAAAAATGGGGAAGTCAGCATGAGAAGCAACCATAGAAAAACTGTAGTCTGCTTTCTCTTTTAGAGATGACTATCAGAAAAGCCATGGATGCCAATTTCATGAAGCAAGACTCAATTCGTTGGCAGATCAACCAGAAACCAAGAATAACACTCATGATTTCACTACGAATGACACCACATGGATGACGAATCGATTAGGGGAAATGATCTCTGTTCAACCTATTTTGCTTTTCACCTTACCTTGTTGACCTCAGCGTAAGGAGCGATCAAATGGAAGAGTGGTGAGGAGAAGCGTTCACTCCCACATTGCGAAATCTATTTGCGCTCACCAACAAATCGAGATGAGTTTTTTCTTGTACACCTCACAACGTTACAGACCACCAATATCGATCTTCCACAGGATTTCGAAAAAGAGGCATGGCGTAACAGCTGCGACCACACTGACGGCAAGACGGGCTTTCTTTGAGGAAGCAATTGCGACAGTTCCGATAAGCAGCGCAAATAACTCATGTTTTGATGCAATCGCCGATTTCGCTGAAAGGAATGTACAAGTATCGATCAGAGATCGAAACTGTTAAAAGTTAACACGCTCAGTCGATCCAACCTTTCAGCGTAATCTTTGGATTTCCCAAAACGTGAGTTATTAACACCGCCTCAGAAAAGGGAACATGAATGTCTGTCCGAGCTCACCAAAGGAGTTTCAAATTGGATATCACACAGCTGGCACAGTGATGGCATAGGAGTGCCGAATCACGGGAAGAACCGCCGTCAGAATCACAATAATGCCTAGATAGGATATTACTATGTCGTTTCCAGGTTTTTCCAAAGAAGTCTTTCGAGTCGCCTTCCCAAAGATATGTACGCACAGTTTTTCAGCTTACTGTTCACGGAGAAAAATTCCCTGCACGGTCATAAAAACTTTATCACACTGTATTCTTCAAGAGTGCTTGTAAAGCTTGTTCCATTCAAGTGACAAGAGGGAAGTTGTACAACTAGCACGACGTCAGTTGAGCAAAACAATATTTTCAGTGGATCAACAAAATTCATCTACACTACACAACAATACATTTTATGAAAGCAAATTAATGAGTTGACACTAAAACCGATCTTAATTAAATGAATCACAAATAAGGTATGTTATCACAGTAATGAATACGTAATGCACAAAAGATTTACATCGTAAAAAGCGACAGACAATCTATGTTCACCGAATGTGTAAGAAGCTCTCGAATCGCCAACGATTAAATGAATACCAAGCCAAAAAAATTATGCAGGAACCCATTTTATCGCATATGGTTTTCTAGGAAGGGATTTCTGCATCCCCTAGTCAGACCATTCGTTTCTGTCGTCAGATTCTGAAACGATAACATCGAGAAAACACAAGTGCATCAATCCACAAATACACACTAATACGATTGACGCCGCTAGTTTTCACGGTCAACTGAATAATCACAAACTCTAAAATTAGCCCAGGAAAACGATGACAGCTCAACGGCAGACCGACCTGCCGTTGCAATAAAGGAAGAAAAACGCTTGGTCCCTAGCTCTTCCTCTTAACTCAAGTCCCTATTTTTCTTAAAACTTGTACAGCATCCGAGAAGTCTATGTTAGAACTGAGACACTTACTTTCTTCTTCGCTTGAATCATCTAAAGCCATATTCATTCGACGCTCTTCTAGAGCTTTGGCAAGAGCACCGGCTATGCCACCCATTTCAGCTGAAGTGTTCTCAGAACGCCTCTTTTCTTGTTCCGCTGTTCGTGTCTACCTGAATCGTCTTGAAATTGAAAAATATCACAATTAGAATGCAAACTGTAACGAACGTGTTTCAGCTGAGCGCCCTGTCGTATCTGAGCCATGACATTGCCCCGCGCCATCTCCAGAACCCTTGTTTTTCTGTAACGGCATTAGGCGAACCTTGTGCTGCAACACTACGCAGTTGCTTGCCAGCTTGGATTTCCTGAAATTAATCTCGTCTTTTGAACTGCTCCAAATCCGGAATTGATATCTAATCAACGATAATGGCACTAACCGCCAAGAGATTTCCCCCTTCCACCTTCGAAGACATTGACGGAGGAGGAGGTGGAGCTGGTGGAGCGGAACTCATTACAGCTGTAAATGCAGCAATATTGTAGGTTCGTTATAAAATATGAGAATTTCTGATGTGAAACTGACGATTAGCCATTGGTGGCGGTGGTGGTGGAGGAGGTGGTGGTGCAGCACTTGTATTTCCAAACGAAGGTGTGTGGTGGTGGAGTCGTTGGGTGGCACTAACTAGGCGCTGAAACATCACCGTCCAGGTACCTTAATCTTCACAGCTCACTTCTTTGGTACTGTATTGCGCTTTAATACTTGCGACATAAAATTTCAATCACCGCCAGGTACCTAAATTTTCACACACTTCTTTGGTATCTGGATAGGCGCTATATATTGTAACAAAAATTCATCAGGGCAACTAAAAATTGAATTCCTGAATTACAGGGTGCCTAAATCAAATGCGTATTTCGACAATACAGTAATTCGTCCTTTTCCTGTTTGAAGTTATTTCACAGCTGATTTTACACATATGCTGACACTATTCCTCATGGTAAATATTCGAAACGGTGTTATTTTGTATCAATGATATACTGTCATCACAAACTACTCATGTGCATCAGAAAGAGTGGAACTGCACTGCTATTACGGGAATGCTGGCGATTGAGAGTAGACCTTCAAAAATGATGCTGCTCGCCGCTCATTCGATTTAGATTTTATGGCCTAGTACATATTGAACAAAGACATTACCGCCCCTAGAAGGTTCAAAGGAGATAACAGAACGAGGAGAACGCCAATACGCTAAACATGGTGAGGGCGCATAACAAGTAATCCAGTCATAAGAACATTTTGACCACAAGGAAAAGTCATGGTTCAAATTTTTCGCTAAGAAATATTCAGAACAGAGATGCAAAAGACGTTGTTCTTTGAAGAGCGAATGATGTGGGAAGAAATCAGTAGGTGGCACATTTTTTTTCCTCATGTTTCTTCAAAAAAAGTCTAATTCCATAAGTTGTTTAAAAAAAAGAACTGTTATAACATGCAGTTTCTATCTAGCAGCAACGACACTAAGTTTCAAAAAGCAAGAGGCTGGACGTAGAGCAGAAGCCACGATGCCTGAGGCGACATTTTTCCAAAACACGTAACAAATGTCGAAGTGGAGTGCAATTCCCGGTGGAAGTGCGACGCCGAGTACATCAAATTGTATGGTATTAATCGGCTCCCCTACTTTCTTCACGATTTGGGGCGCGGCCGAGTCGATAGTGCCCGCGAACTGTGCGGGTAAATTTGAAAACGCTCCACCACCACAGTTCGCGGGCACTATCGACTCGTCCGCGCTCGCCGCGGCCGCGCCCCAAATCGTGAAGAAAGTGGGGGAGCCGTATTAATCGATATATATGCAACATGCGGACGACCTTACATAGTCGTAATATTACAGAAAGCCTGCACCAAGAACAACTACTGATAATTTATGGAGAGACAGAAGATAGCGATCAATTTTTACCTTATGCAGGAACGCCATTCCCAAGATTTAGGATGGTTTGGCTTTCGCACTGATTGAAAGAAAACAAACGAAAACATACCAGCGGCAGCGGTCTACCAATGGGTCGTCCCGAAGACAAGCCTGGTGGAGGAGGTGGTGGACGTGCTGGAGCTTGATGAGATGCTGTGCGTGAAGGTGGTGGAGGTGGAGTAGGACTACTCCACTGTGGTGCAACAGGAGCAGGAGGTTTGTAAGGCTGAGCTGGCGTTGGAGAGCTAGAAAAGTACAGCGATATCACCTTGACTTTTATGTAAGATTATGCTACAGCTTTATGTTGATACGGCAAAGGTTTATGAAAGCACTTTTGCCAGGTTCTATCAATTTCTCAAGGACAAAGCGCTAAAGTTAAGCAGCACATTCGAGAAATCGAAAGCGCATTGCGCAAAATTTTCAAAATGTTTGAGACAAATTGCTGCAATGAAGCTGGGCAACTTACACGATATCGTCTTTATAATTCTCAATGAAGTCGTAAACGAATTTGATAGTCTTTCTGCTCATGCTGGTTGGATCCTGTCCAGCAGCTCGAATAATATTTCTGAAAAAGTCAAGCTGTGATAGTGATTCATGTTGAAAAAATATACTGCGACACTCACTGGATGCTCTCATCCATAGGCTCTGAGTCACACATATTGTTTGAGAAACCATTATCTTGATCCCAGCCAACATGTGCTTTGTGCCTGAAACAAATTGAAGATGTTAAATAAAGCAACCTGGGCATGAAGCCTCTCACTAGGGAACATGAGTTTAGTTTGCGAAAACTCTCGAGGAAAACAGAGTTAAAAAGACAAGTACTTGGTACACGTGGAGAAGAGCTGGACTGGGAATTCGGAATGAGCTTACTCTGATCTCAGTTGCAGCGTTACATTTCGATCTGGCCCAAAACGGTCACAGCTAATTCAACCTCGCTGTTTATGGAGGAAGTTTTGCACTATTCACACAGCAAAACGATAAGACAGCGTATCGCGCCTTGTATGCCGTAGTACAGTGGCGTATGAAGCAATATGTTCCGTGATAGATTCATAATAGG